AGTTCATTCGCCACTCACAATGCAAATTTTAGGTGTGTTCGCCAAATTTATTCGCTTCGCAAGTGCAATACCAGCCTTATGAAGTATACGTATGTACATAAATAAGCAGATAAGGTAAAAATAAACCTCACGGTAAGATTTGCCAAATGTTCGGGGCTGCGGGAAAAATCTGCGCGCTGCGGGTTTGCCATTATTTTCTTCTAGTTGCTGTTAAAAACTTTGAGACTCTCTGATTTACTGGAAATATGAATGGCTAACAATAAGTTTTCTTTTTAATTTTCGTGTATAATAAAAAATAACATATTCTGTACATTTGTTATGTAGCGTGCATTTGAATTTTTCTTCTACATACTATGGAACCTAAATTCTTTACATCGCTCAGTGAATATAAATTTTCTGAAATTAAATTGGAAGTTTCGGAATTTGAATTGTAACTTTCTGAATTTTAAATGAAAGTTTCTGAATTTTAAATGGAAATTCTGAATATGAAATGTAACATTCTGAATTTAAACTGCAACTTTCTGAATTTGAAATAGAAATTCTGAATTTGAATTGTAATTTTTTGAATTTGAAATGGAATTTCTGAACTTGAATGTAACTATCTGAATTTAAAATGGAATTTCTGAATATGAATTGCAACTTTCTGAACTAAAACTGAAAAAGGTGTAGTGCCATTTAAAATAGTTTAACAACCTTGACATTGTTGAATCTATTATCGATTCGAAGAATCCATCAATCAATCACTTGATGTCCCTTTAGATACCCAGTGGATACAACTTTTTATAGCGTATACGGAGTTCAGAAAATCGCCGAAGGTAATTGGTGAAATTCTGCCTAAGCAACGAGTTTTTTAAGGTATTAAGGCAAATAGTTGGACCCATCCGAGAAATAGAATGAGGGTAAAACTGATATTGTCCAAATTTGGCAAGCCTGCTCACAGTGCCGACAAAGTGACACACTACTAAAAACCAGAGATGCTTTCTGTTTTATGAGCAAAGAAACCTGCCGAAATTTTAAGCGTCCTACCATCTCACTAACGAGAAAAAAATCTACTAATTTTGATAGGAAAAGCCCAAAACGGCAGCCCTGGCGACCTCTAGTGAAATTTCATTATTCACATTTTGGTATAACATTTTAACCCTCTAAAAGAGATAAGGAGTTAAATTATTTTACGAAAAAACAATTATATCAAAATCTAAATTCTGTAAGAGCATCGCTTTATTTCTTTCCACGTATAAAATACTAAAGAGATCCAAGAAAATTTCCAAATGAAATTAAAAAAGATTTTTTTCATTTTAAAGCTTAAAAAATCTTTATTTGTCACCGAGAAGTCGTCTGTTGAATTTACTGAGTTTAGTAAATTCGTGGATATTCTGAAAATGAGGAGTATTGGATAAACTCAGTAAATTCAACAAACGACTTCTCGGTGACAAATAAAGATTTTTTAAAGCTTTAAATCGAATTTTGGAGGGCAAGAGTAGTACTTTTAGATAACAGGATGATCTTTCTGAAAAAATTTTTTTTCATCGTGTTACTTTTAGGTTAGAATATCTCGAAAACCTGACGTGATTGATCTATTATGGGGTCAGATTCGAATTCAGCACGTCAAAGCACGTAGAAAATTTAATGAAATGTTTTTCGGATTGTGTAATCGAATGTGTGACCAAAACGTGGAAACTGTGACCTACTGTGTCATTTGAATTTTTGATTATCACGTGCGTAAACTACCATTTGAGCCTAATTGGTTCGTGCTACACACTAATTTCCTTAGTGACATTCATTCTATTTTTGAGTCTCTAAAAATGCGGCAAATGGTAAGAGGTTTTTCACAGCAACAGATCTAAAAAATAACAAGTGAGTTATCAGTTTTTTACCTGTAATAGTACATATTTATGAATGTATGTATATACATATTAACATTTAAAACAATGTCATCTTAACCTGAAATTTTCTTATTAGG